AGATGGAGATGGAGATGGAGATGGAGATGGAGATGGAGATGGAGATGAATATGAAGATGAAGATGGACATGAATATGACGATGAAGATGGACATGAATATGAAGATGAAGATGAAGATGGAGATGCAGATAAACATAAACATGAACATAAAAAATGATAGAGGCAGAGATATAGAGGAAGAAAGTGGAAGGGATAAGAAAGGAGATACAACTGAAGAACGTGCGATGTTATGTTATGTGTATTATGCTACATATGTATTATGTTATGTTAATCTTATGTTATTGTTATGCTATGAAATATTATGTTATGCTAAGTACTAAGTTAAACCCCCCTCCACTTAACCCATTCCAACTAATGTTATATCACCTCAACTCAACTCACATAATCTATTCTTAATTTTAGCGACTGAATTTCAACCGCTTTTCGAACACTAGTTGTACTAAATTTGTAAATATGAATGAAGAACGCTCAACTATTTTAACACAAAGGGAAAATTATTTAATGCTTGTCTACATCAGTTAACTAGTAATAGGTGACGCGTTGTGAATACCTTTTTCCAATGGAATACTAAATAATATTATTCTCATTTTCGTTGTTGGTGTTTCCGACAGGTTAGGAATATGATATATTTTGAAACGATCTTCCGTCATCCCTTGTCAAAGTTCTCAAACGAACGAAAAATGGCACTGCAGATGGCACAACGCCGAAACCGAAACGGAAAATCGTTCCAAAATTCATCAAATAATATTATGTTAATCAAAACGTAACGAACGACAAATCAATAATGTAATAATGCTAAAGTTTTGGAAATTGAAAAAAGTTAAAATTTAATAAAAGAAGATCAATACCAACAAGTAAGAAAGTCTAAGTTCGGGTGGAGCCGAACATTAAATACCCGGCGCAAGTATTAAATATATGTTTTTTCACCTTTCCGAAAGCTACCGCTAGATGATAAGCCGGGGTGTATCACTTTTGAGTAAATAAGCGCCCTCAAATTTCGAAATATTGCAGTTTCAAGCATTTCTGAAATTTACCGTTATATGGAAAGCGGCCGTAATTTTAGTGCGATTTCAATAATTTTCAACGTTTTGCTTTTATGTGCCACGCCCATTTTCCAAAATTTTACCATAAACTTATTTCTTGGTAAAGAATTGTTGCAAGCATCAATTTTGAATAAATTAGGTTTAATATTTATTGATTTATCGAAGATTTTGTATTTCTCTAAATTACCGTTATATGGGATGTGAGCGTGGCTATTGTCCGATTTTTTAAATTTTCGGCCATTTAATATGCTGTACTGTGCAGCGGTTACCAAGATATACACATGTAACATTAAGTGGGCGTGGCTACGCCCATTTTCCGAAAATTTATAATATTCTTATTTTTCGTCTGAAAATTATTGTAAATATCAATTTTGAGTGAATTATCTTCAGTAGTTACTAAAATATCGCAGTTTTCGTATTTCTGGAAATTACCGTTATATGGGAAGTGGGCGTGGTTACAGTCCGATTTCGCCCATTTTCAACACCAACCTACCTTGGATTAACGGAAACCTACATA